AAACGTGCCAATGAACCAAAGTAAAGTGAAATTTTAGTTAAATTTGATTGGAAACACACCAATGAACAAAATCCAGGTAAATTTTAGTCAAATTTGATGGGAAACACACCAATGAACTTAACCTATGTGAAATTTTAGTCAAATTTGATTGGAAACGCACCAATGAACAAAACCCATATGAAATTTTACTCAAATTTGATTGAAAATGCACCATTTAACCAAACTCAGATGAAATTGTAGTCATATTTGATTTGAAGAATGATAATGAACAAAATCCAGACGAAATTTTAGTTAAATTTGATTGGAAACGCGCCAATGAATCAAACTCAACTGAAATTTTAGTCAAATTTGATTGGAAATACGCCCACGAACAGAACATAGGTGAAATTTTAGTCAAGTTTGATTGAAAACACACCAATGAACAAAATTCAAGTGAAATTTTAGTTAAATTCGATTGGAAATGTACCAACGAATCACACTCAAGTGAAATTTCTGTCAAATTTGATTGTAAGCACACTAATGAACAAAATTCAGACGAAATTTTAGTCAAATTTGATTGGAAACGCGCCAATGAACCAAAGTCAAGTGAAATTTTAGTCAAATTTGAATGGAAACACGCCAATGAACTAAACTCGGGTGAAATTTTGGTCAAATTTGATTGGAAATGTTCTAATGAATCCAATTTAAGTGAAATTTTAGTCAAATTTGATTGGAAACGCAACAATAAACAAAATCTAGGGGAAATTTTAGTCAATTTTTTTGGAAACGCGCCAATGAACTAAACCTAAGTGAAATTTTAGTCAAATTTGATTGGAAGAGCACCAATGATCAAGATCCAGATGAAATTTTACTCAAATTTGATTGAAAACGCGACATTTAACATAAATCAGATGAAATACAGTCATATTTGATTTGAAGCGCGACAATGAACAAAATCCAGAAGAAATTTTAGTCAAATTTGATTAGAAACGCACCAATGGACTAAATTCAGATGAAATTTTAGTCAAATTTGATTGGAAACGCACCAATGAAGCAAACTAAAGTGAAATTTTCGTCAAATTTGATTGGAAACGCACCAATGAAGCAAACTAAAGCGAAATTTTCGTCAAATTTGATTAGAAATATGCCAATAAACAAAACCCATGTGAAATTTTAGTCAAATTTGAATGGAAATGCGCCAATGAACTAAACCCATGTGAAATTTTAGTCAAATTAGATTGAAAACGCAACAATTAACAAACTTCAGAACAAATTTTAGTCAAATTTGATGGAAAACGCGTCAACGAACCATACTCTAGTGAAATTTTAGTCAGATTTAATTGGAAACGTGCTAAACAACAAAATTCAGGTAAAATTTTAGTCAAATTTGACTGGAAACGCGCCAATGAAGTAAACCCAAGTGAAATTTTATCAAATTTGATTGGAAAAGCACTGTTGATCAAACTTTAGATGAAATTTTACTCAAATTTGATTGAAAATAAGCCACTTAACAAAATTCAGATGAAATTGTATTCATATTTGATTTAAAGCGCGACAATGAACAAAATTCAGACGAAATTTTAATCAAATTTGATTGGAAACGCCCCAATAAACTAAACTCAAGTGAAATTTTAGTCAAATTTGATAGGAAACACGCTAATGAAAAAAACCCTGGTGAAATTTTCTCAATTTGAGTGAAAACGTGCCGTTTAACAAAACTCAAATGAAATTGCGGTCATATTTTATTGGAAGCGCACTAATGAATAAAATCCAGAAGAAATTTTAGTCAAATTTGATTGGGAACGCGCCAATGAACCATACTCAAGTGAAATTTTAGTCAAATTTGATTGGAAACGCGCCAGACAACATAATTCAGGTGAAATTTTAGTCAAATTCGACTGGATACGTGCCAATGAACTAAAACCATGTGTAATTTTAGTTAAATTTGATTGAAAGATTACCAATGATCAAAATGTAGATGAAATTTTACCTAAATTATATTGAAAACGTGCCATTTAACAAAATTCAGATGAAATTGTAGTCATATATGATTTGAAGTGCGACAATGAACAAAAATCCAGACAAAATTTTAGTCATCTTTGATTGGTAACGTGCTAATGAACTAAACTAAAGTGAAATTTTAGTCAAACTTGATTCGAAACACGCCAATAAATGAAATCCAGGTGAAAGTTTAGCCAATTTTGATTGAAAATGCGACAATGAACTATACCTATGTGAAAGTTTAGTTAAATTTGTTAGGAAGCGCATCACTGATCAAAATCCAGACGAAATTTTACTCCAATTTAATTGATAACGCGCCATTTAACAAAACTTAGATGAAATTGTAGACATATTTGATTTGAAGCGCACCATTTAACAAAACTCAAATGAAATTGTAGTCATATTTGATTTGAAGCGCAACAATGAACAAAATTCAAATGAAATTTTAGTTAAACTTGATTGGAAATGAGCACCAATGGACCAAACTAAATTGAATTTTAGTTAAATTTGATTGGAAACATGACAATGAACAAAATACTGGTGAAATTTTAGTCAAATTTTATTGGAAACGCGCCAATGAATCAAACTCAAACGAAATTTAGTCAAATTTTATTGGAAGCACACCAATCAATAAAATCCAAATGAAATTTTAGTAAAATTTGATTAGAAACGCGCCAATGAAGCAAACTCAGGTAAAATTTTAGTCAAATTTGATTGGAAACTTGCCAATGAACAAAACCTAGGTGAAATTTTAGTCAAATTTGATTGAAAACGCGCCAATAAACTAAACCCATATGAAATTTTAGTCAAAATCAATTGGAAGCGCGCCATTTAACCAAACTCAGATGAAATTGTAGTCATATTTGAAAAAAAACCATATGAAATTTTACTCAAATTTGATGGAAAACACGCCATTTAACCAAACTCAGATGAAATTGTTGTCATATTTGATTTAAAGCACGACAATGAACAAAACCCAAATAAAATTTTAGTCAAATTTGTCTGGAAACGCGCCAATGAACCAAACCCATGTGAAATTTTAGTCAAATTCGATTGGTTACGCAACAATGAACAAATTCAGAAGAAATTTTAGTCAAATTTGATTAGAAACGCGTCAATGAACCATACTCAAGTGAAATTTTAGTCAAATTTGATCGAAAACGCGCCAAGCAACAAAATTCAAGTGTAATTTTAGTTAAATTTGACTAAAAACGCGCCAATGAACTAAACCCAAGTGAAATTTTAGTCAAATTTGATTTTAAGAGGACCAATGATCAAAATTCAGTTGAAATTTTACTCAATTTTGATTGAAAACGCGCCATTTAACAAAACTCTGATGAAATTATAGTCATATTTGATTTGAAGCGTGACAACGAACAAAATCCCGATGAAATTTTAGCCAAATTTGATTGGAAACACGCTAATGAACAAAACCTAGGCGAAATTTTAGTCAAATTTGATTGGTAACGAGCCAGTGAATCAAACTCAAGTGAAATTTTAGTTAGATATGATTAGAAGCACAACAATGAACAAAATCAAGACGAAATTTTATTTGAATTTGATTGGAAACGCGCCAATGAACAAAATCCAAGTGAAATTTTAGTCAAATTTGATTGGAAACTTGCCAATGAATCAAACTCAAATGAAATTTTAGTCCAATTTGATTGGAAAGACGCCAATTAACTAAACCCATGTGAATTTTTAGTGAAATTTGATTGGAAACGGGCCAATGAACTAAACCCATATGAAATTTTAGTCAAATTTGATTGGAAACGCACCAATGAACAAAATTCAGATGAAATTTTACTCAAATTTGTTTGAAAATGTGGCATTTAACCAAACTCAGCTGAAATTATAGTCATATATGATTTGAAGTGCGACAATGAAAAAAATTAAGAAGAAATTTTAGTCAAATTTGATTGAAAACGCGCCAATGAACCAAACTCAAGTGAAATTTTAGTCAAATTTGATTGGAAACACGCCAGAACTAAACCTAGGTGAAATTTAAGTCAAATTTGATTGGAAACGCGCTAATGAATCAAACTCAAGCGAAATTTTAGTCAAATTTGATTGGAAACGCACCGATGAACTAAACCCATGTGAAATTCTTATAAAATTTGATTGGAAACGCAACAATAAACAAAATCCATAAGAAATATTACTCAAATTTGATTTGAAACGCGTCAATGAACCCTACTCAAGTGAAATTTTAGTCAAATTTGATTCGAAACATGCCAAACAACAAAATTCAACAGAAATTTTAGTCAAATTTGGTTGAAAACGAGCCAATGAACTAAATTTAAGTGAAATTTTTGTCAAATTTGATTGGAAGAGTGCCAATGATCTAGATCCAGACGAAATTTTACACAAATTTGATTGAAAACATGCCATTTAACAAAACTTAGATGAAATTACAGTCATATTTGATTTGAAGCGTGACAATGAACAAAATTCAGACGAGATTTTAGTCAAATTTGATTGGAAGTGCGCCAATAAACCAAATTCAAGTGAAATTTTAGTCAAATTTGATTGGAAACACGCCAATGAACCTCAGGTGAAATTTTAGTCAAATTTGATTGGAAACGCGTTAATGAATCAAACTCAAGTGAAATTTTAGTCAAATTTGATTGGAAACGCACCAATTAACTAAACTCATGTGAAAGTTTAGTCAAATTTGATTGGAAATGCAACAATAAACAAAATCTAGGGCAAATTTTAGTCAAATTTGATTTGAAACGCGTCAATGAATCCTACCCAGGTGAAATTTTAGTCAAATTTGATTCGAAACACGCCGAACAACAAAATTCAGGGGAAATTTTTGTCAAATTTGGTTGGAAACACACCAATGAACTAAACCTAAGTGAAATTTTAGTCAAATTTGATTGGAAAAGCACCAATGAACA